CATAAATTCTTGCAGATTTATTAGGCGCAAAAATTAAGCGACTCCGTGTCTTTTTTTTTAGTACTTATTACTCCGGAGAGCCACGTTTGAAGCACCGGGGGAATGTTTCTCCAGCGGTGTGCTTTTTGATAAGTTCAAAATTACCACAAAATCGGGGTTTGTAACCGCAGGAGTCACGAGGAGGGAAATGACGAGGTGGAGCGCACGTGAGGTGAGCGAAAAGGAAAGGTGTCGCCGGTTCAGGAAAAAAAAAGCTGGGGTATGAACTGGTGCGACGGCAGCGCCACCACACACGTGACCCATTTGCGCATTCCGTGCGGGATCTTATCTTTCCACGTTTGATTGATGTGAATCTTGGTTGGCATGCCGGCTGCTGATCCGGTGCGGGTATCTGCCCGAATCGGTTACTCCTGGTAGATTTTATCCCAAGCGATATATATGAAAGTTTGCATTTGATATTACTATTCAGCTTTTTTTTGCAGGGGGTATTATTATTCAGCTGATTGCCTTTTTTTTCTTTGTTGTGGTTGAAAAAAAATTGGATTCCATCGGTGTCGATTAGGGTTGCGGGAGCGTAAATTTGCCGATGATGCTATGAGAGGAAACCACGTGCGAGTGCTTTAGTCCCAAAGAGGAGACCCTGTCGAAGTTAGGGGTCAGGGTTTAGGGCGGCTATGGTTGGAGCGTCCATCAGAGCCAAAGGCCCATATATGACAAGCCTGAGAAGGCAGTGCCTAGCTATGATGCAAGGTTGGACTGAGGATGAGGCGGTGATGATGAAATGAAGAAGATGGCTGAGAAGGAAGAAGGATTGGCCCCTATACGGCGAGCCTAAGAATGCGGTGATGACGCTAGGAAGAAGATGTCGAGAAGGAGGGAGAAGGATTGACCATGAAATCTTGGTCGCGTTTTATATTTTATTCGTTTCTCTCAGCTCCATTGTCGTCATCGATCAGTCGGTGGCTCAACGTCATGATCCTAATCGCTAAATGGAGGTCTTCTACCTCGGTGGTGCCTATACTTCCGCCTTTTTGTCCACTAGTACCTTCAACTACGCCTCCGTTATAAGTAAAAAACATCATAGTAATATGAAAATGTGAGGGCCAATATAACCAATGAAATAATTTTCAAACCGATACAAACATATATGAAAATTATATATCTTGAAGAAAGAGGAAGAAGAAGAAAGAAAAAGAAGAAGGTCGAGAAGGAAGAAGAAGGATTTGCCATGACTCTGATTTTAGGAGGAGGAAAACCAAAAAATACATATATCTATATTACTCAACTTTTCATTTTAATATTTTGCTTGTTCCTCTTGACCCCGCCACCGTTAACACTCATATCTAGACGGTGGCCCCATCGTGTGATCCTAACCGCTCTGTCGAGTTCTCATATTTCGGTGGAGTCAACACTTCCACCTTGTAATCCACTCCCAAGTGAGTTAGAGCGGAGGGAATAATGCATCCAAAATAATACCCTCTCCATCCCAAAACATTGTAATCTTTGACCGAGTTTATAGAGAAACTAATTAGCATCCAAAATACCAGAATCAACATCATTGGATTCAGCATGAAATATATCAATTCACATGGTATATATTTGATATTATAAATATGGATGGCTTTTGCAATAATCTTGGTGAGAGTTTATGAGTCTCCGTTGGATACACATTACATTATGGGACGGAAGGAGTATCAGACATGAAAATGTATCTCTATTTTCATTGGGTACATTTCTAGTGCACGTTTACTTCAGCTTTGTCTCTGAACACTTCGCAAAAAGGGTTGCTCTTAGAGCAACTCCAACGCGTCGACCTAAACGGACGGTGCTTTTGTCCGTTTGGATCGACCGCCCGTTCGGCGTCCACTAGATTTGAGATTTGAGTCGGCGGTGCGCCTAAGGCGCCGAGTTATATTTGTCGGCGTGGACGTTTGGCCGCTCTTTTCAACAAATATGCACAAATTTTCACAAGCAAACATATAGTTTCAAACCAAATAAACAACATAGTTTAACAAGCCGAATAAAAATAAAATAGTGTCACATAGGGGCTGTTTGGTTTCCAGCCACATATTGACACACTCTGCCACACCTCACCTTAGTCAAGTTTGATCAAGTTAGGTGGGTGTTTGGTTCTAGCCACATCTAAGGCAAGAATTTTTTTTTATGAACAGTGAACCTCACATGTCATAGACACAAGAAGTGTGGCAAAATTCCCTTAGGCAAGCCAAAGTGTGGCTAACAATTTGAGCAACTCAAGTTAGGCAAGTGTGGCAAGTGTGGCAAAAAATAATGTGACAACATAAGGCAAACATAGTCACAATCCAAACAGACCCATAGTTTTGCAAGCCGAATAAAAAAGATACATCTATTGGTTGCTAACATGAGCTCACATATGCTCAACCAAATCATTTTGCAATTGCATTTGAGTTTTCCAATCACACATGTCATGACGAGAATTGGGTGAACTGTTCAAACGTCGCCGCTCCTCCATGCTCACGCACAACATTCTCACCCTGGAACTGAAAGCCTTGATCGTAGATATGTTCCGGGCGCTCATCTTCTACGATCATATTATGCATGATCACACAAGCAGTCACCACCTCCCACAACTTCTCCGTGCTCCAAGTCCTAACAGGATATCGAACGATGCCCCATTGAGATTGCAAAACACCAAAGGCACGCTCGACGTTCTTTCTAGCACTCTCTTGCTCTTGGGCAAATCTTTTGCTTTTCTCTCCGACGGCGTTGGGGTTTGTCTTCACAGTAGTGGTCTACTAAGAATAGATACCATCACCTAGGTAGTATCCTGTAACATTCACCGGTGGGTTGTTGTCTTCAACAAGCCTAGCAAACACAGGCGAGCACTGAAGCACATTGATATTATTGTGTGATCCGGCCATGCCAAAGAAAAAGTGCCAAATCCAGAGATCTTGTGAGGCCACGGCCTCAAGTATGACAGTGCAAACCCTGACATGGCCCTTATATTGCTATTGCCAAGCAGAAGGGTCGTTCTTCCACTCCGAGTGCATGCAGTCTATGCTGCCAAGCATCCCTGGGAATCCTCTGCCGGCATTCATCGCCAACAAGCGGGCTGTATCTTCAGCAGTTGTCTCTCTCAAGTACTCGGGGGCCAAACACAGCAATCACAGCCCTGCAGAACTTGTACATGGAGTCTAGACATGTAGACTCGCTCATACAGACGTACTCATTAATGAGATCACCGGGCACTCCGTATGCAAGCATCCAGACGGCTGTAGTGCATTTCTGATAAGATGAGAAGTCATTCTTTCCAACGGCATCCTCTTTGCACTTGAAATAGTCATCATATCCGACTACCCCCTCTCTAATACGGGTGAAAAGATGCCTACTCATACGAAAAACGCCGCCGGAATTTCTGATGTTTGAACAGCGGGTTGGTTGTGTCAAAGTAATCCTTCTAAAGAAGGAAATGGTCGCTCTCTCGGTTGCGATTCAACGCCGGAAGATGCCCCGGAATTGAGCCATGAAACAACGGCCGTTGGCTATTAAGATGGTGATGGACCAACATGGCAGCCAAGATCTCCTCCTCCTCATCGGACGAGGAATGGTCTGAGTCGCAAAGGAAATTATGAAAAAAGAACTCGTCGGCGAACTCCATTTTATACCTTAGCAAACTGTGGAACAACTTGAGGGCGTTGACGAAGGAGCCGGCCGACGAGGAGATGTGCGCCTCCCTTGGACTAGGTGGTTTCCCTGGAGGCATCTGACGAGCGTGCCGGCATCAGGCCGGAGGAGCTGGCCAGGGCGGCGAGGCTGCTTCCTGCTCGCGTCGGCGTCGGGTGGTGGGGGTGGGAAGCTTCGGTGCCCCGGCGGCGAGACGGTGGTGGGGGCGACGTGGGAGGTGGCGGCGGCGGCATTGGAGGAGGTGTATCGGCACCGGCTGCTGGCAGAGGCACCGCAAATGGGTGGCGGCGACGACGCGGCGAAGGTGGGCGAGGGTTCACTGTCGATCTCGGGGTGGAAGAGGATTGCCAATGTGCCACCGACTAGCGGGCAGGGGGAGGAGGAGAAGGGCGCCGCACGCGTTCATTTCGTGTCCGCACCGATGCAAATGAGGCTCAAAAATGGACCGGGAGGCGGACGAAAAGTGAACGTGCGTCCGTTTGGGTCGGCATGTTAGACCGACTTTTCTGCCCACGTTAACCCAAACGGACGCGCGCGGATCAAATGGATCGGCGCGTTGGAGTTGCTCTTATACTCTAAAT